AAAACAAGAAGGCTTATGCAAAGATCTCTCTGAGGAGGGAGGTGACCTCTGCTCATAAGATTCGGGAGGGTCTTTGCAGATGGGAACTGGCAAAGGAGAAAAGCCTTGCAGGGCAGAGATCACCGAACACCTCAGGCTCTGCCTAGGTTCTCGGAATACGGAGTAATTTTAATTGCTTTGTGTCCTCAATGCTCAGGAGATAAAAGCCCCTTGATGCACTGGGAGTGGTCAGACCCTGTGGCTCCTAATCCGATATACTTCTGATGAAGCTGCACTCCGACAGCAATCGGTGATAAACTCAGAGTACTAGTTTAGCATGTCTTAGAAGGATCTCAGGTGCTCTCCCCACCCTGGCTATCTTACCTACTCCTTCACCCTCCCCTTCCACTCCCATAAGATCAATGAGATTGTGCACATAATAAAGTGTTTGGAGCCCAGAGCTCAGGACCAGTGCGGTTCCCACACTTGCGTTGGTCCCCTGGACCCATGCTGTAAATTCTACTCTTGTGTCTCTGTCTTTATTTCCTTCTCAATCCCTCGTCACTGCTGGGACTAAAGGCACCCACGTACGGGGTTGGGCTGGTTCCCAACATAAACTGGTGGTAGTACAGCCCCCTCCCAGTTTCTGTTGCTGTTCTCAGATAGGCTCATGAGGTTTCTATGCTAGACATGCACCATTTGAGATGAATATCTGTTGACAACTTGGTTTCTGGAAGGCCCTTTATTTTCCCTCTGCTTCATTTGCACCGATGCTGTTACTACACTGGTCTTGTTGCTATCTATGGTTTGGCCCTAATCATTTGTATTTTTTAGGTTTATCAGAGTTAACTTTTTTCTTCCTTTTTTTGTAGATGTTGTCAATAGGTTTTGGTTGTGTTATCCTAATTGATGCGTTTTTAATGGAGGAAATCCAGGGAGTTTCAAAATCTGCTCCTCCATTGCTGCCAACTTTTCCGTGATTGCTCAGTCAGCATAGGTTCCCCTTCTTTCCTATCCCAAATCCTCATAATTCTCCATCCAGTACTCTGATGTTTTTTTTTTTTTGACAGCATTTGTTTTTCATTTGTGTGTTGCCTCTCTCCTTCCCATTGCAATGTAATCTCTTTAAGACCCAACTGTTTCACTCACTACTATAACCTTTAGCATACAGTATAAAGGTTTCCATAGTAAGCACTCAATAATACATACAAATGAATAAGTAAATAAATAAACAGATGGACAAGGCCAATGCTGCTAATCTGTATCTGTAGAGAATGAAACTCTCTTTCCTTAACCTCCCAATATCCATGTATACAATCTTCCATCAATTAAAATACTGTTTATTTTAATCTGCTTTAAGATTTAACCTAAAGCCCGACATGGTGGCTTACACCTGTAAACCTCGCAATTTGGGAGGCCATGTTCAGCAGATCACTTGAGCCCAGGAGTTTGAGACCAGCCTGGGCAACATGGCAAAACCCCATCTCTACTAAAAATATAAAAATTAGCTAGGTGTGGTTGCATGTACCCTTAGTTCCAGCTACTCAGGAGGCTGAGCAGGGGATCACCTGAGCCTGGGAGGTC